GCGCCGTGAGCCTCCCTCCTTCCTTAGCTCCTGCTCCTTCCCGTCACTGTGCTTTGGGTCGAGGGGCGAGGGGAGGGTAGCCGGGTGTCCCCTCCCCGCTTCTTTCCTGACATTGCGCCCCCTGTCGGCCACCGCACCATTGCGTCTCCTGAGACAGTGGTGCGGTGGCCAGAGTCCGGGCACGCCTGGTGGATGCATGGAGTCCCCGCCAGGCTCCCCAGATGCTCCACCGCCGCGCGCGCGTGCGAGGGTAAGGCCAGAGGGAGGTGATGGGAAGAGATCCGCACGCCTGGGGAGATGCGGAAAGTTTGGGTCAGGTGTGTGTGTGTGTGTGTGTGTGTGTGTGTGCTCTCTCAGCCCCAGAGTTGGGTAACATAAAGTGGGCCTCGCTGAGAGCCCTCAGACCATCTGAGGCACTGGTTAAAAAAAGCTCGGCCTCCTGGGCCTCACTGAGACCTACTACTGACTGAAGGTCTCTGGGTAGGGCCTGGTGGTGTGCATTCTTTGCCGGCATCTCCAGTGCTTCTGATGCACTCCTGCGGCCGAGGCTAGTGTGTGAACTTGAGACTTTGTGCATCCTTGTGTGTGTACTCTTGTGGTCTGTTGATTCTGGGAGGCTGTCAAAGATTGCCGCCTTTTCTCTCCCACAACCCTGCTCAGTGGTCCTGTTAAGACAAACCAGAGGTGCTCTTAGCTCCAGGAGCACACTGCTGCTCCCTAGGCTTCCTCTGTCAAGCCCAGCCTGTAAGGGTCCCGGACCCCTGGCAGCCCATGCTACTTAGAGAGCCAATCCCAGGCCCCTGGGGGAGACTAGGCTCAGGGACTTGGGGACCTTCCCTGTCACAGACCACAAGCAAAATGAAGGGTGGCTGCCTTGAACTCAGCTGTAGGAGAAGCAGCAATCTTGTAAGCTCTCTTGTAATCCAAGCCCTGGGGCTGCTTGAGGACCTAAGGATGAGTGAACTATAGGGACTGGAAAGTTGAATCCCATATCCTAGACAGTTGGACTCCACTCACTGAGCCCAAGTATCAAGCCAGCCCCCAAGTAGTGGAGTCCTTGTTCTTTTGTCATGTCGGGATAACATGAGATTTTCCAATGAATCACCAAAAAGCTGAAGTGGAGTTGTGGCTCAAGCAGCAGAGGGCTGGCCTTGAGCAAAAAAGCTCCAAGGCAGTGCCCAGACCCTAAATTCAAGCCCCAGGATTAGCACATAGCACACACATACAGTTCCTTCTGCTGTATGCTCATAAGGGTCTTCATCAACCCAAGTACCCTGAGAATGAAGCCTTAGGGTCTTTCCCAGCAAGGGACTCCCAAATGTCCATTTCTTCTCTTCCTTCCTTCCTTCCTTCCTTTTCTCCCTCCCTCCCTCTTCCTCCCTCTTTCCTCCTTCCTTTCTAATACTAAAGTTTGAACTCAGGAACCTTATGCAAATGGATGGTGCTCTACCACTTAAAACATGCCTTTGGTCTTTTTACTAGTTATTTGGAGATGAAGTCTTGCAGACTTTTCTGCCTTGGGCTGGCTTCAAACCTTAATCCTCCAGATCTCAGCCTCCTGAGTAGCTAGGATTACATCGCTGAGTCATTGACACCTGGCTCTAAATATCCACTTCTGCTGACAAAGAACAGTCTTCCTACAAGCTGGCTTCACAGAGCTCAAAGCAGCACTTTCAAAACTCACTTTTATGGGGCTGGGAAGGTGGCTCAGTGGTAGAGCGCTTGCCTTGCATGCATGAGGCCCTGGGTTCGATTCCCCAGCACCACATAAGCAAAAAGAAAAAA